TGTTTCCAGTTTATGTTGAATAAATAATGATAAATAATTTACATTACTTCACTTCAACCACCAGTCACAATCCAAAACAGTGTCAAAAATTAAAAACTAGGAAAAGACATGATGCAGAAGCTGTCAGAATTAGTCTACAAAATAAATAAAACATTTACTTAATCTGTAAAAACACATGTATATGAATATGTAACATTTGTAAAAGTCAGTATTTTGGGTCATGGTAGCGATTGTTATTGATTAATTATATTTCAGGAAGTTTGTTTGATTGTACAGATATAGGCAGCTTATTATTCATGTTCCAAAGAATACTTAAATAATAAATAATACTAAGCTGTCTTACTTTGTCAAAGTTGAATTTCTCTCCATTCTCGTGGACCCAAATCAAGCAGTCAGTGATATCTTGGACCATCCCTAAAACATTCCCCTGTTGATGAGAGTCAGCCAAGAGTAGTTTAGAAGTTTAATATTTGAATAATTTCTCTCTCTCTCTCCCCCCCACCCCACTTTTACGCTCAGTAAAATTCACTGATATATGCTAAATATGTGAGAAAAATATAAATCTTAAGATTACTGTGTGTTGTTCAGAAGCTCTCACCTTTGGATATGTGCAGTAATCAGGACAAATTACAGTTGCTTTCAGTTCTTCAGCCATCTGCCTGCTCAGTAAACAGTAAATGGACCTTTCTCCTGAACTCCAAGCACCTCCATAGATAAATATTACAACTGGTGATGGCATATCTTCTAACTTGTCTACATTTGGAGGGTGGTACAAGTCCAGCTTGTTGCCTCTGCGGCCAAACGTGATGCCCTATTAAGTGTCCACACAAACAAACTGAACACTGACAAATTTTTCAACAAAACAGGTAGATTTTCTCAGCAAGTTATCCTTAAAATACCTTTTCGTAATACTTAAGGTTCCTCTCATCGTTATACCATGACGTCAGTTGAAAGTAAAGTCTGGCATACCGCAGGTATTTGAGAAGATCCAGCGTAACAAAGCTGAGACGATATATTCGCCTGATTAAGAACACAAACACATAAACGAACATAAAAAACAGACTCTGCTCAATGAGTGGGACAAAAATGCAAAATAAAAACAGAGAACACATCTAAAGTATTTTAAAAGTTACCTTGGATTAAGAGCTTCTATGTACTTCTTATACCCAGGCTTGT